GGGTACGGAAGGTTTGCATGTCTTGAACAGTAGCCAAATTAATACAGGCCTGTATACTTGCATACATACACATACATACATACATACACACATACATACATACATACATACATACATACATACATACATACATACATACATACATACATACACACACACACACACACACACACACACACACACACACACACACACACACACACACACACACACACACACACACACACACACACATACATATGTATAACGCGTATTCGTGTGCATGTGTGTACCTTCGTGTGTATGTTTGTCTGTGAGATAGCCTGAAAATACGACGGCGCGATCACATTTATTCGTACAAAGGAATAACTTTTAGGTCGACTGATTAAGAAATGTTTTCAAGAAACCGATATTTACTGCTGCAGCTGGAATGGTTCTAACGGAAAATGAAAATCGCTTTGTGAGGAAAATAGTTACAGATAAAGTGACGCAAAGTTCCGGAACTGTCTTCAGTTTCTCATTAATGACCATTAGCAGATAGTAATTAGCCCCATTTGACCCTGCCCTTGACATGGACGACCTGGAGAGCAATTAAATGAACACCCATTTCCTGAAACTAGATTATTACCGAGAGAACCAACTTTAATCGTCTGCGGGAAAATGGAGCGGTGACGGCATCACCCCGTCACAGAATCGGCGCCCGAACGCAAACACGCCGACGACTCGCCGCCATAACTACGTCGTTTGTGGGATAATGACGACGTTTATGCCAATTATTAATGCCGTGGAGGGAGAAACAAAGCCGCGGAGGAGCCCGTGCCTCAATCATTAACCAATTATTGAATACCTGGTGCGTATGTCAGATATTATTTGGGGTCTTTGATCCGATCTCCGAGGCTGTCCCGCAGCGGGCGCGGCCTTTGTTTGGCAGCTGGGAGGGGGGGGGGGGGGGCAAGAGGGGGGGGAGAGGGCGAGGTGGTGGGAGGGAGATAAGATGGGGGAAGGAGATGGAAGAGGGGAGGCGGAGTAGGGGGGAGCGGGGAGGTAGGCAAGGATGATGAGGTGAGTGGGGAGGAGGAGATGGAGGAGGAGGAGGAGAGGGCGAGGAAGAGGAAGAAATGGGGCGAGGATGAGGAAGCTGTGGGAGGAGGAAGGGGAGGAAGGCGAGGGAGGAGGGAAGAGGGGAAGTGTGGAAGATGGTAAGGGGTGGGGGGGGAGGTAGAGAGGACGAGGGAATTGTAGGAGGAGGAAGGAGAAGGAAGGCGAGATGGGGGAGGGAGGAGGAGGAGGAGGAGAGGCGAGGAAGAGGAAGGGGGGGGGGGTCGTGGAGAAGGAAGATAAGTTCTTTGGGAGAAGAAAAAGTGTGGAGGGGGGGGGGGCGTGACATTAGGATGATGAACACTGGATGAAAGGGATAGAACAAATGAAAAATAGAAGGAGATGGAGGGGAGGAGAAGAAGAAAGAGGAAGAGATAAGAGACGGAAGGAGAGTAGGAGGGAAAGTTGGAGGAGATGATGGAACGGGGAAGGGTAGAAGAGGTGGGAAGAAGAGGATGGGGGAGGGGGGGGGGGCAGCAAGGCAGATGAATGGACTGCCGAGGGGGGGGATGGGCGGAAGAGGGGGGGGGGAACCTTTTGTTTTCGTAATTCCCGCTTAAGTGGTATTTAGGTTGAGCGATTTTATAGTTATTGTTATTGCTGGTATAATTTTCTATAACCTTATCTTTAAATTTTATACAATCTGAGCCAGCAGACAAGTAACCGTCTCTCCCTCTCTCTCTCTCTCTCTCTCTCTCTCTCTCTCTCTCTCTCTCTCTCTCTCTCTTTCTCTCTCTCTCTCTCTCTCTCTCTCTCTCTCTCTCTCTCTCTCTCTCTCTCTCTCTCTCTCTCTCTCTCTCTCTCTCTCTCTCTCTCTCTCTCTCTCCCTCCATCTCCCTCTCCCTCCCTCCCTCTCCCTCTCCCTCTCCCTCCCTCCTACTCTACCTCCCCCCTTGTTTATGTGAGAACGTGTCCTAGGGTAAAGGAAAATAAAGGAAAAACACCTAGAGGCCCGTCCTTTAGCCCAGCCAGTTACTCCTTCTCTCCATTCACCCCTTTTACACCCCCTTCCCCCACCCCCCTCCCCCCTCCCCCCTCCCCTTCCCCTCTCCAGAACCCGCCTGAAGGAGGGTTCAAAGTCAAGCGTGTAATCTACCTGTCCGACCCAAACCTTTCAGGAGTTTGGCCTCGGGCAGCACCTGGTCACCTGCGCGCTCGTGTTTCAGGGAGAAGTTGAATCTGGCCTAATTCTTTCGCCAGCTCGAACAGGGAAGCAGATGCGTGTATTGCTCGCGGAAACACTGAAGTCTCGTGATATCTCGTGATGTCTCGTGATGTTTCGGAATTAATGGGCAGAGATCGAACGTGAAATGAAGAACCAGCTTGTTGATAATGTAAACGCTTCGCTGAGCTCGCTGCATTCGCCCCAAATGGTGATTCACAGATTGTGCCGGAGGAGAGCCAAGGACGACTGAAGGATTGGACGAATATTGGGAGAATGCTTGTAAAGGATAAATCTTTGGTTTATTAATGTCACTTCAAGATAATGTGCGTGTTTGTGTTTGTATGTGTTGGTAAATCAGTTGTACATCTTTTATATGAGATTCTTCCAACCTTCAGATAGCCTGTTTCTATCGTAATAGAAATATGCTGTAATAATTAGTTGTTTTTTAAGTTCATCTCTCTCCCTCCCTCCCTCCCTCCCTCCCTCCCTCCCTCCCTTTTTCCCTCTCTCCCTCCCTCCCTTCCTCCCTCCCTCCCTCTTTTTCTCTCCCAAAATATCCTTAGGAATGGAAATAAGGCGAGCGCAAGGAGGATAACTAATTTACCAAGTGAAAAAAACATTTTTTTTTCTCTGCCATTATCGAGAAGCAGTTAATGTAATTATTCTATCCCCTGACGCTTCCCAGTTCGGCCGAGAGATGGCGTCACCTCCAGAACGGGGCAAATTCTCGATGGGAGTCTGTATAGTTTTTCTCCAATAGGAATTTTCTCGCGTAGAAACCCACTGTGAAGTTCGTATGACGTTCAGTTGCTCGGATTTTTTTTTTCCTTTTTCTTTTTCTTTTAACGAGGTCACCTCAGTGTTGTTGTTTCCAACAATCTGTGTTTTTCTTTGAGCGTATTTTCTTTTCTTTTATTATTGCATTGTTGATTTTCGTTTTTACCTCGACTCTTTTACCGAAAAGTTAGGATATTTTTCTTGTTCATTCGAGAAGGAGGAGAAGCAGGCAAGGGACGCTTCCCTGGAAAGGGGAAATTACAATTGCAAGAAAAAGCGTCGCCTCAACAACTGATTTTGTTTTGTGATCCTGCGATTGTAAATGTAATTACATTAAATCAAATCGTTTATTTTAAAAAGAATCCTATTTTCCATGGACTGTGAAGTCGATATCATCATATAACATGGATATGCGCATTACTTACATGTAAGCGAGCATTATTCATTTTCTTATATGGCTATACTCTCTTATCTGTCTCTCGCTGTCTGCTTTTCCTTCCCCACACCTTGTTACACCGCCCTTGCTCGCTTCCTCTGCTGACGGCGTTTTTTACACTCCTTTATTCCTTTTCCGTTCCATCTCTCTCTCCCCTTTCTGTCTTCTTTTATCTTCCATCACTCCCTTTTCTGTTTTCTCTCTCTACCTCCTTCCCCTAATTTCAACTAGTGGTTTATCTCTTTGTATGTCCACCCTTTCCACCTTTTCTCCTCTTTCTTTCTTTAATTTTCTTTTCTGCCGTTTGACTTTTTAATGCTCTCTCTGTCCTTCCTTTTCTGCTGTTTATAATACGCAGAGTTCTGTTTTTCTTTTTTTCTTTTTTACTTTCTTCCTTGTTTGAATTTATATATTGTATATATAGGTAATCAGTATCACAGTAATTGCGTATAATAAAGAGGGGTGTCGTTATTTAGTCAAAGTAAAAATATATTTATCGCCAAATCACATTTAACGATGCTACGAAAGTATATCATTCTTGCGTGATATAAAGGTTTCTTTGAAGTAAAGCCTTGAGCGGGGACTCCTTCATAAATATCTTGTTGCACATTGCAAAGCTTTTAATCTAGCTTTGGTTTTTGTTTGTGACGGCTCTTGATTCTCTTAAATTTACGAGTGATTTATAACCGTATCTTGAACGTTCTTTAAGATTGTCATATTCTCTGGTTTACAAATAGCTTGTTTCAGAATATGTATATTCATTACCCTTTTATGTGTATCTTTTTTAGACATATAAGCACTCGCTCCAGATAGATAAGCTAGATAGACTCTGAAGACATAAATCCTCCTCCAACCCCTTGTTTACTTCAGAGTATATGTATATATATACACCTACATATATATATATATACCTACATAAATATATATATATATATATATATATATATATATATATATATATATATATATATATATATATATATATATGTATGTATATATACACACACACACACACACACACACACACACATATATATATATATATATATATATATATATATATATATATATATATATATATATATATATATTTATATATATGTAAATATCCATTTATATGTATATATATATATATATATATATATATATATATATATATATATATATATATATATATGTATATCATCTATTTATATACGCTATCTATTTATAGATGGATAGATAGATAGTACACATACATACATACATACATACATTAAATACATACATACATGCATGCAAACAGGTCGATACAGATAGACAGATGCATTATAGATATATATATAGATATACACTTTTAAACTTTTTTATTCACATACTCCAAACAGATGTGACACCCCCTCCCCCCAACCCATGCCGTCTCTCTCGCCCTCACCCCCACCCACCCCTCCACATCCCACTCCACCCCCCCCCCCCCACACACACCTCACCCCACCCCCCACACCCTACACCCCAACTCCCCATCAGAAGGAGATTAACCCCCCCCCCTCTCTCTCTCTCCCACAGCCAGCGGACAACAGCGCCAGCACTTCCGCAACCAACCCGAGGACCAGCACGTGGTCGAGGGCGCCGTGGCCATCATCAAGTGCGAAGTCGGGAACCAGAAGGGCCGAGTCCAGTGGGCCAAGGATGGCTTCGTCCTCG